CAAGTGGGAGTCTTCCATGAAAGATGAGATGGACTCGCTTATGTCAAATCAGACGTGAGAATTATCTGAATTACCACCATGCAAGAAAGCTCTCCATAACAAGTGGATCTACAGGATCAAAGAAGAGCACGATGGAAGCAAACGCTACAAATCAAGATTGGTTGTCAAAGGTTTTTAGCAAAAAGAATGTATTGACTATAATGAAATTTTCTCTCCAGTTGTAAAACTGTCTACAATCAGACTGGTGTTGAAAATTGTAGTTGCAGAAAATTTATATCTTGAGCAGTTAGATATAAAGACAGCTTTCCTTCATGGTGATTTGGAGGAAGAAATCTATATGAGGCAGCCAGAAGGCTTCATAGAGGAAAGAAAGAAAAACCTGGTATGCAGGTTGAAGAAGAGCTTGTATGGTTTAAAACAAGCTCCTAGACAATGGTACAAGAAGTTTGATAGTTTCATGAGTAGCAGTGGTTTTACCAGATGTCAAGCAGATCATTGTTGCTATATCAAGAAATTCGACAACAACTTCATTATTTTGTTGTTGTATGTTGATGACATGTTTGTTGCAATGAAATATATGGGCGTTGCAAAGCAGATTCTTGGGATGAGGATCAAGAGAGACACAAAGTCGGGGACTTTGATGTTATCACAGGTTGCGTACATCAACAAAGTACTCTCTAGGTTAAACATGCAAGATGCTAAACCAGTAAGTACATCTTTAGGTGTTCATTTTAGACTCTCCAAAGAACAGTCACCAAAGACGGAGGAGGAACGTGCACACATGGTGAAGGTGTCGTATGCCTCAGCAATTGAAAGTCTAATGTATGTCATGGTTTGTACTAGACCAGATATTGCTCATGTTGTGGGAGTTGTTAGCAGGTACATGAATAATCCAGGCAACGTACACTGGGAAGCAGTCAAATGGATCCTCAGATATCTACGAGGTACCACAAATAAAGTAATTTGTTTCAAATGTGGAGATACGATACTGACATGCTATGCAGATGCTGACTTAGCCGAAAATGTAGACATCAGAAGAAGCACTACAGAGTATGTCTATACTCTAGGAGGTACTGCAGTGAGTTGGGTTTCTCAACTACAGAAGATAGTTGCTCTCTCCACAACTGAAGCAGAATATGTCGTTGTTACGGAAGCCAGCAAGGAGATGGTATGGCTCCAAAGTTTCTTGGAAGAGTTAGGCAAGAAACAAGAAAACAATGTCTTGTATTGCGACAGTCAAAGTGTTATCCATCTAGCAAAGAATTCATGTTTTCATTCCAGGACGAAGCACATAAAATTGAGATATCATTTTATCCGGTTTCTTCTGGAAGATGGGATTTTGAAACTTAAAAAAATTAGTGGAGCTCAAAATCCGGCAGACATGTTGACAAAGACGGTGACTACGGACAAACTGAAGTTGTGTTCAGCTTCAGTTGGCATGCTAGAGTAACAAGACCATAAATGTTGTTGCATTGATCTAGGTGTAAAGACATATTAAAATCAGTCTTCAAGTGGGAGATTGTTGGAAAAGTCAAGGGAAACTTTTGGTGTGAAAGTGGTGCATTTAATTGCACCGAAATCCAGTTGTTTTTGTATGATAATTGCACCGAATTCAAGATGTTTTTGTTGAAAAAAATGGCAAAGGGAAAATTACAATTAGTCATTGGACTTTAGGGTATTTATAAGATTAGTCCCTAAGCTTCAACTATAAATACCCTAGCTCATTTAGCTTCAAAATCATCCCAAAAATCATTTCTTCCTCCCAATACTAGAGAGTTTTCTTGTGAGTAGTGAGTGTTTTGTAAACACCTGTAAATTTTCTCTCTTAGTAAAAGATCTGCAACAGTCCAGAGACGTAGGCACAATTGGCTGAACTTCGTTATCAATTTTTCGGGTATTATTTTTCCTCTTTTATTTCACATTCTCACTAATCTGGTTATAGGGAAATTACTCGTACTCAGTTTATTTCCCATCATGATTCTCATCAGTATGGTGAATCGGCTCCACAAGTGAATTCAATAGTTGCCTCCGGTATAGTCAAATGGTATTCGGACTTTGGTGCTACGCATCATGTCACTCGGGATCCACATATCTTTTTTGACCAAACAACACTACAGTGGATAGGTTAAGGTGTACCTAGGTGATAATTCGACACTTGGGATTTACATATATTTGTCAGACTAAATTATTTATATCTGCTAAGAAGTTATCTTTGATGATTTATTGCATGTTCCTCTTATCATGAGGAATTTGTTATCTATTTCCAAATTTGAATATGATAATGACGTTTTCTTTGAGTTTCACCCTACTGTTTTCTATGTGAGGGGTGAATAAACATGCAAGGGAGGAATTTAGGATGAAATTATGAGATGGGCCAAGCTACTTATATTTGAAACTAACAAGTTTCTAACAGGTAATTAAACCACAAAATAATAGAGGATATGGTTTAATTTCACTAATTTCAAAATTTTCATGTCCTAAAAAGTAATTAAATAAAAAAAGTTAGATACAAGACTTAATTCATTTAACATTAAAACTGATAATGTATTAAAAATAATTAAACCAAGAAATTTTAGGAGGCCAGGACTTAATTTTAATAGTTTTATAACTTTTAAGTGTTTAAAATACAATTGAACCATAAAAATTAGGGTGGGCCATGTCCCCCTCCGCCCTCCACATGGTTCCACCGTCGTAAACATGACAAATATTGTTGACTGTGACATTAAAATGTGGGTTGTTATGTTTTACACTCACATCCTTGGATCCGTTAGCTTCTCTTCTGCATACAGACTCGTATGATCTTCAAACTCCATTTTGATTTTGACATCAAAGACTTGGGCATCCATTAATAAAAGTTCCTCGTATAAATGACTAATTTCGTTGTTGCTCTTTTCTCATATTCAAGATTCTTTACTTATTTGCATTAGTGGGTTACTTTAGGAAGTTGATTACCCACTTTAAAGGGTGGTTTGAGTGGGTAGTTGTCAATTGATATTTTTATCTCTCTATCACTCCTATAAAAGAGATAGTTCCTCTCCCTAATTGAAGATATAATGGATGGTTTCTATATTTTATTCTTGAAAAATATTTTGTTGAATAGAGCACCACAAACGAATTTCACTTCTTCATTTCGAGCGTACGAGATTTGAAAGATAAATAGTTGTAAATGGATATTAAAAAATAATAATAAAAAGTACTCGTACCCAAAAATTTTAAAGTCAAAGTCAACGCAAAATGAAAATGAAATAGCAATTCCCATTTAACCAATAAACCAGAGGTCCGGTGTGATTATTTAATTTGGTTACCTACATTTCTTTTGTTTTCTTTTGACTGATTAAACTATTCATATTATTAATTAAGTTTAATATAAAAATAAGTGTTTAAACTATACTATTTTTCGTGGTGTTTAAATTTTTTGATCAATCCAAGTCCATAACGTTACAAATGTTATCACATTAGGTCTATTTTTTTAATTTGACTTATTATTTAATTTTTTTTAATTAGACTTGACAATTTTAAGTTGATAAATTTTCGAATCGAATACCATTTTACGTATTAAGATTAGAGTCGACCTTAATACTACTTATACTCAACTATACTTGTTTACAGCCCAACTTGCGTAGATCCGTCATTATGTCTAAAAATAAGCATATGCTTATTGCTTGCGAATAAAATTAAACGTAGTAATTAGTTTGTTGTGTACAATCCAAACAGAGTGGTACCGATGCATTCAAAGCAGATGCACAAGAGCACGTCCAACCAACTCTCACAAATCTCACCTACCTTTTGCTAATTTATGCCCGTTCTTTATAGGGATGACAATTTTTTCCATCTAATAGTTTTCTATTTAATCTAATCTAACTGAAACTAATTTTTAATTGATAATTAAGATATTTCCATGCATTGACATTATCACAAAGAATCCAAATCACCAAGTCCTAATCCATAGAGATATTCAGACATTATACTGAAAAGTGCAAAAAGTTCGATTCGAGAATCAATTAAGCAGTGAAAAATAAATTGAAGATAGAGTATGCCATTAGAATTGAAGGAGGCGTGTTAGATCACCATGGTACATCAATGTCGGTTAATAAATTCTTTCGATTATTAATTATTATTTTAATTAATGACAACATGGTATATTTTTTATATATATTATTATTATTTCATGAAAAAACACGTTCTCTTCTATCTTATAATGCATGTCCCTATAGTTATCTTCAAGTTTAGATGACAATAGAAATACAAATGAAGTGTAACAATAATATTTTCATATAATATTTATAACTTGTATTAAATTTTTCGAGTCCAACAAGATAGCTCAATTTTATTTATTAAAATTTCAAGATCAAATTACAATTGTTTGGGGGAGGGAGGGAATTCTTTATCGGGATGAATGTATCGAGGTAAACTACACATTTAGTAAATTAATTATCTATTTTTTATTTTAGTCATTTGAATTTTATTTTTTTAAATCATATTTAATATTTAGTTTAAAATTTATTTTTTTCACCCACTGATAAAAAATTAATAGTGATACTGAGGTATTACCATAAGATAATGTTACATCATCATTAAAAAAATAAAAATACCGTGTCAACATTATGTTAATTATTTAACGGCGAGTGATTAAAATGAAACCAAACTATAACGTTAGGTATGCTTTTGAAAAATAAAAAATTAGGTGAGTAAACGGAACAAAATATTAGTTAGGATACTAAACATGTAGTTGACCCTTAATATTAACGTGTACTTCCCAAAACTACATAAACGCGTTTTCTCCTTTTTGACCAAATCTGATTTTTTGTTGCAGTTCATTACAGTCGCTTCCTTTGCCTAAATTTCTTCCCTTTCATATTGATTTTGAACAGGAAATTTCCCCACCGTCGGTCTTCCCTGCCATTTAATCTACCAACTTCTTCAACCCTTTCTCTTTCCTTCTTCCTTTTATGATTGAATACCAGAAATAAATTGTTTACATTCTCAAATTCTGAAGCTTAAGTTCGCAAACGTCCGATGATTTAAACCACAACGAAGGGTCTGTGAGAACTCCCTGCATTCAGAGTCATGGGCCATTGCTGCAGCAAAAACGTCTCCGCAGCTGACAATGAAACCACCTCCACCGCTAAACAATCCCAACCGCCACCTATTCCGGCTCCGTCCACCCCATCCGTCGAGACCTTTTCTTACTCCGTTAGTCCATTTTCCAGTCCACTTCCTGCCGGAGTCGCGCCGTCTCCATCCCCGGCTAGAACGCCGGGGAGGAAGTTCAGGTGGCCGTTGCCGCCTCCTTCTCCTGCGAAGCCGATCATGACCGCCTTAATGAGACGAAAAGGGCCCAACAAAGCGGCGCCGGTGGAAGGGACAATCCCCGAGGACGGGGAAAGAGCGGTGCTAGATAAGAATTTCGGGTACGGAAAGAACTTGGGGGCTAAATTTGAGCTCGGGAAGGAGGTGGGACGAGGGCATTTCGGTCACACTTGCTTGGCCAAGGGAAAGAAAGGAGAGCTAAAGGGACAGTCGGTGGCCGTTAAGATCATTTCTAAAGCTAAGGTGTGTCGTTTTTTATTTGTGCTTTGTTTTTTTTCCCACAATTAGTTTTCTATGTTCAATGGTTCATGTTACTAAGAGGCAGAAATTATAGTTTCCATTGTTAGAATATATTGAATCATTTGAAACTGCATTTTGAGTCAAATAGATTTCATTACAATTTACAATGGTGACTATGATGAGAATAATATATTGAAGTTAAATCTTCAGAATTTGGATACACTGCTAACGGAAGTAAGATCTTATGTTAGGGTCAAACTTTTAAAATTTTAGGAGAGATTAACTTTTTGAAATTCTAGGGGGACTCAGATATATTATTAATTAAAAATATAAAGAAAATATTTAACATATATGACAATTTTAAATTTTCGGGGGGCGACTGCCCCCAGCGGCTCCCGCTCGGTCCATCCCTGATTGCGAAGATGGGAAAGTACCAAAAAAGAGAAATTGGGACATTCAATGTATGCGTGGTTAGTTATGAATAACTTGGGATTGGCTCAAGTTTTGTTCCATCGACAATGGATCCGACTATCTGGAGTTAACCTCACCTCACCCTTCATTTCCGGAATGCTATGCTAGCAACCGATTGCTGCAATTATAGCTTTTTTCTTCATGCTTTTTAGCTTACATTTTATTTTTAGACAAAATATACATCATTCAAGAATGGTTAGTGGTTTTGAGAAGAACAGGAAGCTGACTGGATGTTATTATTTGGCAGATGACCACAGCAATATCAGTTGAAGATGTTCGGCGGGAGGTCAAAATACTGAAAGCCTTATCCGGTCATAAGCACATGATCAAATTCCATGATGTTTTTGAGGATACTAATAATGTCTATATCGTCATGGAGTATGTTACACGTCTGTTCTTGCTACGTTTATTTTCAGATCTCTTATTATTTGTAGTAGTCCTTTCTCAATTTTTAAGTTTAATCCTTTTGCCAACCATGCATGTTCGATACCTTTTCATAATTGAAGCGTTGATTGAACTGAAGCATTGTGCCAGAATATTGAATAATATGAATCATGCATATAATTTAGCCACAATATCAAATAATAAGCAGCATGCATATGAATATATCTTTAAGCTAATATGTAGTTGGTCTGGGCATGCTTCCAACACTTAATTACTGTAAAATATTCTTTTGTTGTCAGATTATGTGAAGGTGGAGAACTACTTGACAGAATTTTGTCTAGGTATTGAAGGACTGCCTTATTCTAATGTACTGTCTTAAGGCAATCTTAACCTCATCGTTAAAAATCATGTTTCAAATTGTTCCTTTGTTGCAGAGGTGGTAGATACACTGAAGGAGATGCTAAAAACATAATTGTGCAAATTTTAAGCGTAGTTGCCTTTTGCCACCTTCAAGGGGTTGTGCACCGTGATCTGAAACCAGAGGTATGGCATAGACGAATATGATAATTCAATTTTAATTTAGTTCTATGCTGCATTTTTTTGTTAATATGTGGCACAATATTTCTTGTTGGATCCAGTTCTAGTCATTTACCAATTATTTACTCTAATGTGGTCTGTTTTGCAGAATTTTCTTTTTACCACAAGAGACGAGGATGCCCCAATGAAAATTATTGATTTTGGCTTATCTGACTTTACTAGGTCAGGTAAGAGTTAATTGCCTTCTGCCATATTTGCATAAAATTTTGCCTTCCCTTCATCAAATGTTCTTTCAATCTCACACCGACATAATTCTCTGAATCTTGTAATAGACAACTCCCCTCCCCCTCCAAATCATATATTTATCAACAATTTTGTTTGAACACAAAGGCATCAGTTTTCATTCATTTGCAGATTACCGTCTCAATGATATTGTTGGCAGTGCATACTATGTTGCACCAGAAGTACTACATAGATCTTACAGTGTTGAAGCTGATATGTGGAGTATTGGTGTCATAACTTATATATTGTTGTGTGGAAGCCGACCTTTCTGGGCTAGAACTGAATCAGGAATTTTTCGTTCTGTGCTCAGAGCTGATCCTAACTATGATGATTCACCTTGGCCTTCTGTATCATCAGAAGCCAAAGATTTTGTGAAAAGGCTTCTGAACAAAGATCACAGGAAAAGAATGACTGCTTCTCAAGCTTTAGGTAAGTCATATTTCAAAATGCTATATTTCGATTATGACATTATCTATAAGCAGCTTTTAGAATTTATGCTCCGTCTCTCTCTCTCATGCTATAAAATGTTTGCAACTTCAGTTTAAAGTAGCTATAATGAAATTATATATAATCTTGGAAACTAATAAGGACCTCTATACTGTCAGCTCATCCATGGTTACAAGATGAAAATTGTGCCGTGCCTTTGGATATTTTGATCTACAAGTTAGTCAAGTCATATATTCGTGCCACCCCTTTCAAACGAGCAGCACAAAAGGTAGTTTACCGGTTCCTTTAATCAACAATGAGACAAATTATCGTAAAATAATGTAGTATCTGAAAAGGAAAAAGTTTGATTCGGCAAACTGGCTAATGCTTCTTTTATGCAGGCAAGCATTTGATAATATGATTGCACGGGTTCCTCTCTAGCATTCTTTTCTAATGTTTTGTTATGGCTTCATTTTTCTGATTGCAGGCACTTTCGAAAGCTTTACCAGATGATGCACTTGTGTATCTTATGACGCAATTTAGGCTTTTAGAACCGAAGGATGGATGCGTGTCCCTCAGTAATTTTAAAGCTGTTAGTTCTTGGTTTTATTACTTTACTTCTTTCCGTAGCTGCATTCTAGTTTTTAGCACATTGCTTTCAGTTTGATATATCCATCTACTCTTTGCAGTAATTTCTCATGACCATCATTCTGAAAAATTGCAGGCTCTAATGAGGAATAAAACTGATGCCATGCAGGAATCAATAATTTTTGACATTATAAATGTGGTGAGATATCTTTTTTAACGTTCCCGTGGCTCGTATATATATTTTTTATTGTAGAGTGAATAGCACCACTTATTTTAACGTGTGTAGCGTGGTTCTAGATATGTTTGTTTTCCGTCATTAAAGATTTATAGCACAATTATGGCACACGAGTTTTTGCGTGATCTGAGAGTAAGAGGATTTTTATTCTGATACATGTTCCGTCATTAATTTGTTTTGGAACACTGATAGCAAAGCCGCACACAGATAATATTCGATTCCTCGAATTGCATATATGATTTCTCAGGGTTTTTGTGATGTATTTTAAAATTTGATCATGTAGTATAATGCTGACAATTTCAATTTTTATTTTAAGATGGAACCACTGTATTACAAAGCGATGGACTTCGAGGAGTTCTGTGCCGCCGCAATCAGTGCACACCAGCTCGAAGCACTTGAAGAATGGGAGAGTATTGCAAGCAAAGCCTTTGAGTATTTTGAACAAGAAGGAAACAAGGTCATTTCAGTGGAGGAATTGGCACTGGTATGCCGCTCATATGTTATTTTCCCCCCATATAAATCCATGGCATTCCTGTATGTTGAGCTCCCGAACTCGGATTTTGTTGCTATCGGTTTTCGTTTTTGTTGCAGGAACTAAATCTGGGACCATCAGCTCACTCTTTGCTTAGAGATTGGATAAGATATTCAGATGGAAAACTGAGCTTCCTTGGGTATATGAAATTTTTACATGGAGTGACAATTCGAGGTTCTAATACAAGACGACGGTAGCATTTTAAGACTGAACATAAGATTTTTTTAAATCAAATTTTAACCAAAAATATGATTTGAGTATTCTTTTCATTTGGAATTGAAAGTATAGGTGTTGTAGGTATACAAGGATAAGATTGAATTCGTGCTAGTTTGTTTATATTTTTTTTATTAATTTAGGGTGATTATAAGTGTTAGTATATGTTTTAAAGACTCTAAATTATTTGACGATGAACATTCAAATATCCTACAGTTCCTAGTGCTCGAATTTGGAAACTTTAGGAATAAGAATCATTTCTTTAACAACTAAGGTTGTTCGGTTCATGCGTTTATTTTTTTTAGAGGTGTTTAAATTTTCAAAATATAATTTATGTCATGGTTGAAATTTATTATATATATTCAAATAATTAAGTAATCAATTAATTAAATACAAAAAAGAAATTAAAATCCGTTAATCCATCAAAATTATTTCATAAAAAAGTATATATTATAATTATTAATTAATCTCAACGGAGAACGAATAGTTGGATTAATTTATTAGTTAAAAAAAGTTGAAACCCGACTTCATATGTCCCTCCAAATTTTCCATGAAAAATGTTTATATTTAATTATTTATTAATCTCACCAGAGAATAGATAGTGTTAGATATTGACAAAAAAATTTAATTAGAAATAAAATTGTATTGTTGTTATTATTCAATTATTTAAAGATTATTTGATGGTTACGTTCAGTCGAAGATAATGTTAGATTATTTACTTCTGAAAATAAAGAGTATGTTTTAACTTTTAAAATTATAAAATAAAATTATTTTATAGGGATGTATTTTTTTTTCATAGACTAAAACTTTTGTGAGTTATTGTAGAGATGAGTTTTGTAGGATGCTAGATAAGTGTTTAGGAATAAATCGAATTTTGAGATATATATATTACGTTTTTGAGATACATAAATATCACATATTTGTGCTAATTAATAACATTATACAAATGGAGGTCCCAAATTCTCGATGTTAAATGCAATAGAGCAACAAAATCAAGAATTTAATCATTTACCTCCCTTCCTCTTTTTTTCTTTCTTTCTTTAGATTTTACTGACCCAATCAATTTTTTCTTCTTTGATTTTGTTTAGCTAATGGCGACATCGATTTTAATACTGATTGTCGATCGCCGGTTCTCTTTTCACTTTGTTTCTTTCTTAATTTTTTAATAAGAATAATTTTGCATTTGTGACTTGTTTATCTTTGCCTTTGTGACACATTTATTTTTGTCTTTATGACATGTTTTTCTCCTTCTTTGTGGCACGTTTTTCATCTTTTTTTTGGTCGTTTGACCGTTCTTTTTATTTTATGTTTTCTCAGGGTTGGATTTAACGACGCCACGACTGATCAAGATGATGCTTATTTGTAATCAAGTTGATCTTCCCTACTATGGACCCTCAAATTGAATTTGGATATGCGATTTTACGTTCGTAGATAGTTTCTCATGACACCCGGCTCTAATTTGCAGTTCTAACTTCTCAGTGGTCTTTCAATAGATTAATCCTCTCTTATAGTTCGTTTGCCGATGCAGTTATATTTACTTGTATCTATTTTTGTTTGAGTCTTTTTGGTTGAGTTTTTAACATTTTCCATGTATGTCTTGATATAATCTAAAGTGACTAATTTCAATTAGAAAAATGTCCAAATTATGTATTTAGTTTACGTGGTTAGTTGTAAACTCTTATTATAATTTTGGATATTCATTTTTAATAAGACTAACTATTTCTATTAAAAAATTAATTAATTCAAAGTAACGAAATTTAACCTTTGACTAAAAAATATTCAAATTTTGAAAAGAATAAAATTGTTGCTCTAAATTAGAGGATTCTAATGCCCATTAATGTACGAGGAGTCCATAGGTTAACATATTTAGGGATTATTTCCAGAATTAGAGGGCATTAATGTTCTTTAATGTATGATGGATTATCATACCATTTGCCATTTCTGAGTGTTTTTAATCACTATAAATATATTAAAACTAACAATATCAATACATTGTAGGTCTAATTTTTCACTCCAGAAATGACTTTATCCTTTAATTTTCTAAATTCAAAAGTGTTGCTTTTTCTTTTATGCGACATTATTATTTCGACCCCATTTTTCATTTTCTACTTCGAATCCCACTGGTCTGACCATACGGGTAGATGTGGATGATTCTCCGAGCTCTCCTCTGCATGGTGTTCAAAATCTGACTATGAATGAATATTAGAGATTGATAAAAGTTTCGAATGCTAGAGCCAATTATTTGAATCTAATTTTGAGTTCGAGTACAACGATACTTCCCGATAATATTCGAGTACCATTATTACTAGAGAATTCATGGTATGCCGCAGAGTTTACGATAGGAAGCCAAGGGCACCGAGTGAAATTGATTATGGACACCGGAGGTGGTTTAATATGGACACGATGCCAGCCTTGCTTGAATTGTTTCCCTCAAAACCTTCCCTCCTCGAGCATCTACCACTTATGCTACACTTCCTTGTGAACATCATCTATGCAAAACCCGGGTAAAAACTACAATTGTGTAGACGGCGTATGTCGTTACGCCGTTAACTACGCCATTGGCACCTTCACTAGAGGCGTTTTATACACGGGATTTTAATGTCGTGTTCGGTTGCTCTAACGATAGTGGTAATATTTTTTTTTCAGAACACTGAGATTTCAGGTGTATTTGGAGTAAGCCTCTCCCCGGAATCGATGGCGAGACAGTTCTCGACCGAAACTCACTCTCGATCCTCCTACTGTTTGGCCCCTTTTTCCGGCACAGTTCTCCCTCCACTTGTTCTAAGGTTTGGAGAAGACATTTCAAAGTTTCCACCGGGACACCTTCAATCAACATTGATCATGCAATCACCGACGCATCCACCATGCGCGGGTTCAATTCCCGTCGTTCGCCCATTTTTTTTAATATTTTAATTTTAAATATTTAATTATTTAATATATATTATCTATTATCTATTTTTTGTTTTTGTAAAGACGAAAAAAGAAATTTTCTCTCCTATTTACTACGACGACGAAGAATCAAATTATCGTTATATTTATTATTTTTCTACTTTTTCCAAGTGCAGGATACCCCAAGGGGTTGCGGGTTTTTTTCTACTAATTGGAACCCTCCCTTCACCACGCCAAACAAATATTATTACTACTTACAATTGTTGGATAGAAGTGTCAGCGATTATCGTATCGGATTTCCTCTGCCCACTTTCCAGTTCAGGGAAAGCAGTGTCAGTGATTTTTTAATAGACTCCAGAGCTTTGTTCACTTTCATCGATCCCGGCCAAAACTTAATTGGAGCCGATGCATATGAGAGGGTAATGTCAACGTTTGTTGCTTATTATGGGTCGAGAGGTCTTCAAAAATGGCCCAGAAAAGGGCCGGGATCATTCGATGTGTGTTATGAAACCCAAAATTGTTATAACGATTTTTCATCTTTAACATTCCATTTCAACGGAGCCGATTACACGGTTGATGAAAGATACGTGAATGTGTTCTTGCAAGGCCATTTCTGCGTAGGAAACTAAGGGCAGCCTCCAAATCTGCACTTGGAGCATGGCATCAACAAAACAAACGTATCATTCATGATGAATTGTTCGGTGAACTTCAATTTGCTGATGAAAATTGTGCCAATGATGTTGCTTGATTCTTTAATACGTTCCTTTGTTTTCTTAATTCATCTTCTTTCTTTCTTTCTCAAATCAACTGATGTGAGATTTATCAATCCTATAAGAAATTTGATTGAATTTTCAAACAAGCTTTTCACTGGCCTTGAAGTTCAAAGATGTAAAAAAGGGCTTTAGCTATAGTCTAACAAACCCCTCCTCGATTAGTTCCCCAGAGTGACAAGCAGCAGCTCCCTTTGTTCATTCAGTTCCAACACCACAAAATTAGGTTGTTGCCTTTGCTTCTTAATCTTCTCCCGCCACATGTCGATTCCAATCGTTAGAAGAAGCTCTTCTCGAACAGGTAGGTATGGTGGTCTCCTTGCACGCAATTTCAAGTTGTTCGCGGTTGTTAGATTTTATCAATAGTTCATCTCGGCCCCTGAATTTGAATATGACATTCATTTGTCGAAACATATTCCGAAGCCCGCGAATAGGAAATAAAAACATTTCAGTCGAGATTAGTGAGTTTTGGAAAAAATTTCGGTGAAACAACCATCAAATTCGGACTTAACGTGTCAAAGAGAGTCTTTCGGTACAGTTTGAGATCAAACAACCGCCGGTTTTGAAGATTGACAGTGATTATTTTAAAAAATTTACTAAAAAATATTATTTTATTATTTATTTTAAACTATTTTAAAAAATTAATAAATTAAAAAAATTAAAAATACAATAAATAAAATAGGAGAGAAAATAAAATTTATTTACTAAAAAAAGAAATAAGAAGGTTTGAATTTGAATCATGGAAACACAAGGGATAACCAATTTTTCAAATCTTTTTATCGATTACTATTTTAATCATATATTATTAATGATATGCTCTAGAGATGTCAATTAAGAGCTTTTAACTTATGAGAAAGGGAAAATGTCAACTGAGAACTTCTAACCATATGCTTTAAAGATTGTTAACGATTATTTCAACAATTTAATCATTACCTTTGGTTACCAAAATAATTATTTGAGCATTGTTAAGTTATCTCTAATATATTTTCTTTTTAAAATTTCGGTTAACAATACATATCTTAATATACCTTGTAGAAACAACTACTCAAATAGATTAATAATATATATCTTGTAGACTCAACTACCCAAATCTAAATATTTTAAGAGAATGTACAATACTATCTTTAACCAATAATTAAGAGAATGTACAATACTATCTTTAACCAATAAGACGTTTTTTCACTCGGTTTCTTGTAATTCAAGAAGAATAAATAAATTTGTATACAAAAATACATCATACATAATCTTGTCACTTAAATAGCTAGCTAACTAACTAGCCATTAATTACACATTTTCCCTCATTTTATGTGGAAAAAGAATAATTTGCTCTATGCGACTGGAAAACAAAAACAAAATTTTAAACAACATGATAATAATAATTATTATAATAATAAAATAACAATAATTATAACAATGATAAATAAGAAGATGAAGAAGAAAAGATAGGGAATTTATGGCTGTAAGATTGAATCATAGAAGAAAAGCCATTTATGCAACGTAACGTATCCCTGAAAGTTGTCTGCTTCAAATATTTATACAGTAACAGTAGCACCGACCCCATCCTCCGCATGCGGAGTTGCTGACGAGCTTTCACGTTGAGATTTCTCCGGGAGAGGTTGTTGTGCTCCTCCGCATATGGCGTTCAAGGAGTCAGCGATCGGTTTAATGACCAAAATTCCCTCACCGACCACCGCACAGGCGAATGTGGTAAGGAACACAGATATAGCAAGTCCGTCGTGTGTGGACTTGTCCGGCGTCCAAAACGCAGACAACCCCATAAGCAAAATTTGCAACGGCAAACTAATGAGGATGGTGAAACTGAGTACATAGACTCGAAACTTGAGCGATTTGTTGATTACGTGGGAGACAACTTTCCAGAACGATAACAAGAATGAAAATATGAAAATAACTCCAAAAATGCCGAACAAGACGGTACTTATGAAAGGGTACGCACACAAAATTTCGGCGTCGCCACCCTGACCCTGGTCGATTTCGAAGAGGAACCAACAACGATTAAAAAGTTTCCGGAAACGCAGCTCGGAACCAGCGAGGAAGACGAAGTAAACTTGTAAAAGGAAAAGAGGAAGACACGAGGCGAAGACGTAGAAAACGCTGAAGAAACCATTAGGGGTTGTTTTTTTAACCGAGACATCGAGCAAGAAGAGAAGGATTACGAGGAAACCAGGCTCGAAGAACCCTAAAGAGAGAACCAGGTGGAGTTTACAGAAGTTAGCCTGTTCCGGAGGCGCTAGCTTCGGGAACATAGGATGAAGATAAACGCGTCGGAACAAGGGGAGACGAATGACTTCAGTTAAACCCCAAAACGCGACGAAGACGACGAAAAGGAATCGAACAGTCCAAAGAGAGTTGAAGTTCTGCAAGTGACGGGAACTCCTTGATTTAAAACGGATGAGTAATATGAAGCAGATGCAGAAAAGTGAGAAACCAAGGAGTGCAGCAATGAAGGTGACGAAGAAGGATTCGACGGCGGATTTGAGGAATGGTAGGGGTGAAAAAAATATCATGGCACACACGTACGTGACTATAAGCGGCGGCGGCGGCGATCATAAACAGAAAGAATAACCCAAGGCATAATTGGGTGGTGGTCGGAAGGGGTGTTGGGGGAGAGAATAAGGGTTGATGATTTCTCTCCCCTTTTCCCAACCGGCGGGGGAAGAAGCCGGTGAGCTCAACTTGATCAGATCTTTTTGGGTTCGTCGGATCATAAAGGAATTGACAAGTTTTTTGTGGTGACATGCAATGGCTGCTTTAATTTCGGCTCATTTCTGGTTGTTCAAGTTATTTTAGGGCATCTACACAATTTCAGGCTCATTTAATACCTTCTTCAATTTTCGTAAGCAAATTAATTAGAATGATGTCAGCGGTTTTATAGGAATTTTCATGGATACTTACCACTGCTTTCCATATATTTTATAGCAATTTCTTCTACAGCCTTTTTCCCCATTATACATGTATAACGTAAAATACTTTAATTTTATATGGATTTAATACAGTTGAATAAATGAAAATAGATAGTTGAAATTAATTCTATGTTCTTTTTTCAATGAATATATTCTCATTTTCTATTGTTAATCTCAGTCATAGATTTTCACTCATCCAACGGTTATGATCCACTTACACAATGTAAAACTCTTTAGTTTTATACAGATTTAGAATCGTTGAATGAGTAAAAATATATTTTTTCCATCTTGTTCACCCTACCTATTATTTTTCTTCATCTTGGTCACCCAATGTGAAGTACCTCCAACTATTATTTTTCTTTCGTCTTCGTCACCCAGTTATTTTTTGTTTCAAAATCATATCAAATGTTACGTTTTAGATTCATTTGGGTCACCTACCGTTAAAAAATTAACGACGAGCATGTAATTTTCAAGCTCGACTCGAACTATAAACTATGAATTGAAGCTCGAAAAAACTTGAAATAAAAAAAATCTTAAACTTAACTTAGTTGAAGCTCAAACTAGAACTTAAACTTGAATCTTAAGTACATAAAAATCTTATATTGTATTTTTTTTAAAATCAACACATAAATATTAATATTATTAATAATTTAATATTTAAAAAAACAAGATTTTAATATATTATTTTTTCTAGTAGAACATCAAATAACTAGTTTTAACTTATTAAAAACTCGAATGAAACTCAAGTTAAATTAAATATTTATCAAACTTTAATTAAATCAATTTCAAATAACTCAATCTACAAGGTATCATTTACATCCTTTAACAACGTCTATAAACAGGCAGCGCGTCTATATACAGGCATTGAAATTATGTGATGTGGGGCAAGGCAAGGCAAGGCGTCATCTTGTTAAAAGTTTCAAAGTTTGGCAACCAACTTTGGAAAATGTTTTTTTTCAAAGTTTGGTAAATGTTTCTTTGAAAAATGTTTTTCAAAGTTTGATAAAATTTTGGTAGATGTTTGTTGAAAATAGGAATGGGTAAATTCACTTTAGTCATTGCACTTTAGGGTATTTTCAAAGATTAGTCCCTAAGTTTCTACTATAAATACCCTTACCCATTTAGCTTCAAAATTATCCCAAAACATTTCTTTCTTCCTATACTAGAGAGCTTTCTTGTGAGTAGTGAGTGTTTTGTAAACACCTGTAAATTTTCTCTCTTAGTAAAAGATCTGCAGCAGCCCGGAGACGTAAGCACAATTGGCTGAACTCCGTTATCAATTTTCGGGTATTATTTTTCCGCTTTTATTTCGCATTCTCACTAATCTGGTTATAGGGAAATTACTTGTACTCGGTTTATTTTCCTAACAACTGGTAATCAGAGCTTTTGGTTGTGAATTTTGCCAAATTTTCTGCGAGGTTACTATTCATTACTATTCACGTGAATAGTGAATTTCGTGAATAGTGAAATTCGGTCGGCGATACGAGTTTGTCGACGGTGGTGTTCTAATACACGGTGATTCGAAAGAATTTTCGGAAACGATCCAAACGAAGCCAGATTCGAGTGGGAGCGATGGCTGCAGACGAAGGGAAGGTGAAAATTGAAAAGTTCGATGGTGCGGACTTTGGCTTTTGGAAGATGCAGATTGAAGATTTTTTGTACCAGAAAAATCTATATCAAACTCTCTCAAGAAAGCAACCAGAGGGCATGAAGGATGAAGATTGGGCTCTTCTCGACAGACAAGCCCTCGGAGTTATCCGACTGACGTTATCCCGCAATGTTGCTTTTAACATAGCAAAGGAAAAGACCACGGCGGGTCTTATGGCGGCTTTCTCCAGTATGTACGAGAAGCCATCGGCCTCAAACAAAGTTCATTTGATGAGGCGATTATTCAATTTGCGGATGGCGGAAGGGGCATCGGTGGCACAACACCTAAATGAACTCAACACAATCACAACCCAGTTGAGTTCAGTGGAAATTGAGTTCGATGATGAAGTTCGAGCTTTAATTCTCTTATCATCTCTACCAGACAGTTGGAATGCTACTGTTACAGAAGTCAGCAGTTCGTCGGGAAACAGCAAATTAAAATTCGACGATGTTCGGGATCTGGTATTGAGTGAAGAAATTCGACGAAGAGAATCGGGTGAAGCATCAACCTCCTCAGCCTTACACACGGAGTCTAAAGGGAGAACTTCAGAAAGAAATTCAAATCGTGGCAGATCAAAATCTAGAAGGGGCAAATCAAGAACAGGAAATAAAGATTTTACATGTTATAATTGCGGCAAAAAGGGTCACTTCAAAAGAGATTGCCGAGCACCGAAGAAAAATACCGGCGCACAGGAATCTGCCAACATGACGGAGGAGACAGGTGATGCCATGATTTTAAGCGTCAACAGTCCGATTGAATCATGGATCTTGGATTCAGGGGCATCTTTCCACTCCACCCCATGCCGAGAAATCATGGAGAACTATGTCAGTGGTGATTTTGGGAAGGTTCATCTAGCTGATGATGAAACCTTGAAGATCGTCGGAAAAGGAGACATCCGACTAAAGCTGCCAAACCAGACCACCTGGAAGCTGACAGGAGTGAGACATATTCCTGGCCTCAAAAGAAATCTGATTTCTGTTGGGCAGCTTGATGGAGAAGGATATAGTACAACTTTTTCAGGCTGTGAATGGAAGATTACCAAAGGAGCACTCGTCATTGCTCGTGGTAAGAAGACCGGTACTCTCTATGTAACCTCAAATTTAGAGAATATTATTACAGTAGCAGATCCTGATGGAAAATCAAACCTATGGCACCAAAGGCTCGGCCATATGAGCGAGAAAGGAATGAAGATACTTCTGTCAAAAGGGAAGCTGCCGGATCTAAAGAATGTAGATGTCGGACTATGCGAGGATTGCATCTTTGGAAAACAAAAGAAAGTCAGTTTTACAAAGATTGGCAAGACTCCCAAGGCAGAAAGGTTAGAATTGGTTCATACTGATGTATGGGGACCATCCCCTGTTCCATCTCTTGCAGGCTCACTATATTATGTCACCTTCATCGATGATTCAACAAGGAAGGTGTGGGTTTATTTTCTGAAGAAGAAATCAGAAGTCTTTGATACCTTCAGAAAATGGAAGGCCATGGTGGAAAATGAGACTGGTTTGAAAGTCAAGCGGTTGAGGTTTGACAATGGAGGAGAGTACAGAGACAGTAGTTTCAGAGATTTCTGCGCAAACAATGGGATTAAGATGGAGACAACAGTTCCCATAACACCGCAGCAGAATGGCGTAGCAGAGCGCATGAACATAACTCTGAATGAACGTGCCAGAAGCATGAGGATACATGTCGGATTGCCCAAATTTCTATGGGCTGAAGCTATCAACACTGCAGCTTACTTGATCAACCGTGGGCCCTCAGTTCCTTTGGATGGCGGAATACCAGAGGAAGCTTGGAGCAAGAAAGAAATAAACCTTTCACACTTAAGAGTGTTTGGTTATATTTCTTATGTACACATAAACTCTGCTGAAAGAAGTAAACTTGATGCCAAGTCCAACAAATGCGTCTTTGTTGGTTACGGTGGTGATGAGTTCGGTTACCGGTTTTGGGACTACGAAAATCGAAAGATCATCAGAAGCAGAGACGTCATTTTCAATGAAAATGTGATGTACAAAGATAGGTCAACCGCAGAATCAAGTAATACCGAAGCTGAAATAAAGGAATTTGCTGAGTTCGAGGATATTTCTGGAAATGATGTTCAGATCAATCCTGAAGCAGTTCAAGAAGAACCACACACACCAGAACTGAGACGCTCCTCCAGAATTCCTAAACCAACCCAACGGTATTCGCCTTCTTTGCACTATTTATTGCTGACTGACAATGGTGAACCAGAGTGCTATGATGAAGCAATGCAGGTGGAGGATTCAGTCAAGTGGGAGTCTTCCATGAAAGATGAGATGGACTCGCTTATGTCAAATCAGACGTGGGAATTAGCTGAATTACCACCAGGCAAGAAAGCGCTCCATAACAAGTGGATTTACAGGATCAAAGAAGAACATGATGGGAGAAAACGCTACAAAGCAAGATTGGTTGTCAAAGGTTTTCAGCAAAAAGAAGGTATTGACTACAATGAAATTTTCTCTCCAGTCGTAAAACTGTCTACAATCAGACTGGTGTTGAAAATTGAAGCTGCGGAGAATTTACATCTCGAGCAGTTAGATGTAAAGACAGCTTTCCTTCATGGTGATTTGGAGGAAGAAATCTATATGAGGCAGCCAGAAGGCTTCATAGAGGCAGACAAGAAAAACCTGGTATGCAGGTTGAAGAAGAGCTTGTATGGTTTAAAACAAGCTCCTAGACAGTGGTACAAGAAGTTCGATAGTTTCATGAGTAGCAGTGGTTTTATCAGATGCCAAGCAGATCATTGTTGCTACATCAAGAGGTTCGACAACAGCTTCATTATTTTATTATTGTACGTTGATGACATGCTCGTTGCAAGCTCAGACATGCAAGAGATTATACACTTGAAGCAAAAATTGTCGAAGCAGTTTGCTATGAAGGATCTGGGCGCTGCAAAGCAGATTCTTGGGATGAGGATCAAGAGAGACACAAAGTCGGGGACTTTGATGTTATCACAGGCTGAGTACATCAACAAAGTACTCTCCATGTTCAACATGCAAGATGCTAAACCAGTAAGTACACCTTTAGGTGTTCATTTCATACTCTCCAAAGACCAATCACCAAAGACGGAGGAAGAACGTGCACACATGGTGAAGGTGACGTATGCCTCAGCAATTGGAAGTCTGATGTATGCCATGGTTTGTACCAGACCAGATATTGCTCATGCAGTGGGAGCTGTTAGCAGGTACATGAATAATCCGGGCAAGGTACACTGGGAAGCAGTCAAATGGATCCTCAGATATCTTCGGGGTACCACAAACAAAGCACTTTGTTTCAAAGGTGGAGATATGATACTGACAGGCTATGTAGATGCTGACTTAGCCGGAAATGTCGACATCAGAAGGAGCACTACAGGGTATGTCTATACTCTAGGAGGAACTGCAGTGAGTTGGGTTTCTCAACTACAGAAGATAGTTGCTCTCTCCACAACTGAAGCAGAATATGTCGCTGTTACGGAAGTCAGCAAGGAGATGGTTTGGCTCCAAAGTTTCTTGGAAGAGTTAGGCAAGAAACAAGAAAACAATATCTTGTATTGCGACAGTCAAAGTGCTATCCATCTAGCAAAGAATCCGTCTTTTCATTCCAGGACAAAGCACATACAATTGAGATATCATTTTATCCGGTCTCTTCTGGAAGATGGGATTTTGAAACTTGAAAAGATTAGTGGAGCTCAAAATCTGGCAGACATGTTGACAAAGACGGTGACTACGGATAAACTGAAGTTGTGTTCAACTTCAGTTGGCATGCTAGAATAACAAGACCAGACATGCTGCTGCATTGATCGAGGTGTGAAGACATATTAAAATCAGTCTTCAAGTGGGAGATTGTTAAAAGTTTCAAAGTTTGGCAACCAACTTTGGAAAATGTTTTTTTTCAAAGTTTGGTAAATGTTTCTTTGAAAAATGTTTTTCAAAGTTTGGTAAAATTTTGGTAGATGTTTGTTGAAAATAGGAATGGGTAAATTCACTTTAGTCATTGCACTTTAGGGTATTTTCAAAGATTAGTCCCTAAGTTTCTACTATAAATACCCTTACCCATTTAGCTTCAAAATTATCCCAAAACATTTCTTTCTTCCTATACTAGAGAGCTTTCTTGTGAGTAGTGAGTGTTTTGTAAACACCTGTAAATTTTCTCTCTTAGTAAAAGATCTGCAGCAGCCCGGAGACGTAAGCACAATTGGCTGAACTCCGTTATCAATTTTCGGGTATTATTTTTCCGCTTTTATTTCACATTCTCACTAATCTGGTTATAGGGAAATTACTTGTACTCGGTTTATTTTCCTAACACATCTTTCCAAGTTTCAATTCCAGCCACAGAAAAGAATGCACTAGTAACACTCGACTCTTCTATTGAACCCAAAAAGAATGCAGTTTCCCGACTCTAGGGTGTAGCAGCATAGTCTTATTCATCTTCCTCAACATGGCGATGGTCTCAAACACCATCACTTGTCTCACTGCTTCCAGTCCACCACCTTCCCCTTTCAAGTCTCTCAAGCCCACTCTTTTCTGGCCCTGGGAAAAGGTACTCTCTTTAACCATGTCTACACACGTCTGCATATTGGTGTCATGTATATGGGTGGTTGCAGGTGAAAATGGGTCCTTTGAGTGTGTCTCCGATGGGGTTTGGGACATGGGCATGGGGAAACCAGCTTCTGTGGGGTTACCAGCCATCCATGGATTGGCAACTTCAACAAGTTTTCAATCTTGCTGTGGACAATGGCATTAATCTTTTTGATACTGCGGATTCTTATGGGACTGGAAGACTCAATGGACAGAGTGAGAAGCTTCTAGGGAAGTTCATTCGAGAATTTCCAGGTTGGTCCAATTTATTTTTCCAATCCCTGCCCTCTATGAATCAACATTGAATATTGTGTGCAATTTCAGGGGGGAAACGGATACAGGATGATATTGTGATTGCTACAAAGTTTGCGGCTTACCCATGGCGTCTAACACCAGGGCAATTTGTTCAAGCTTGCAGGTTTGTTATTTAATAAGTGATCCCCTTTATCCCACAATTAGATTCATTTTAATTGTTTTTCCAGGGCCTCTCGGGATCGAATGCAGGCCTAGAAAATCGGAATTGGACAGTTACACTAGTCCACTGCAAACTATTCTCCCCCACAAGAATTAGCACTTTGGAATGGTCTAGTGGCAATGTATGACAAGGTTAACCATCAACTACTTCTACATATGTTCTTTTAGTTACATTTTAAATTAAATAAATCATTTGCTTTTGGTATACGTGTTATATTCCTGGAGTTCATCACACAAAACAATAGCTCTCTGTCCTTTAAAACCCCTATATAAACTGACCAGAGTTTTCAAGGAATTCATGTCTTTCGGTGACGAGTCTCCGAATCAGCTATTGTATTTATCTGAACAATATCCCTAGAAAAGACTTGTGACCTGTCAGGTAACCCACCTAGAAGAAATCCTAGATCTGACGACCATATCTATTTAACCTACTGACCTATGAATAACAATAATGACCTTATACTTAGCATCATCATATATAATCATTGTAGCTACATTTCAACCATGATTGAGAGGGAGACTTTCTTGCTTCTCCTCCAATATTCATCTACACCTACCATCTCGTTGAACCAACGGTTACCATCTCACCAGCTGTAGATCTCCGCCCAAATCAAAAAGAGTGAATTGCGAACCGCCAATATAATCAATTTTTTCCCATCAACAATGTGAAAGCTTGTCTTATAATTAACTTGATTCCAAGGAATTCATGTCTTCTAGAGTCGAGTCTTCAAATAAGCTACTATATATAAATAAGAACCATGGATAAGATTTCTGATAGACCAAGTAACCTACCAAGGCAAAATCCAAGATCTGACGATCAGATCTATTTAGACTGTTGACATACGAATAGTTAAAATATTCCTATACCCAGTACCATCAAAGAGTCATTATAAACACCTCTTAACCACAACTAAGGGGGATTTTTCTTCTTCTCCTCTAATATTCATCTACACCAATCATCTCCTTGAACCAGCCAACCTCCTTGAACCAGCCAACGGCTATCATCGACAAGACCAATTTGTTTTCATCAACAATGTGAAAGATTGTCTTGTAATTAACTTGATTCTAAGAAGAATATCCTGTTTTTGCATATCATACTTGTTGTTCTGTAGTTCAGATGTCATAGCATTCTCTCTTGGACCGGATAAAAATTTGCAGGGCTTAGTTAAAGGTGTTGGAGTTAGCAATTATGGACCCAAGCAGCTTGTAAAGATTTATGATTACCTTAAAGCCCGAGGAGTCCCACTATGTTCAGCTCAGGTAGAGATAGCAGGAATTTTGGTTTTTGTTGTTTTTGTCTTTCATGTAGTAGAAACGAAGAACCAGTTGCCAAATGAATTGCATCTCCCTCGTATGCCCATTCGCCTTTCCTGTTTAGTTACTTTACAAAGTTAACCCATTCCAAATAGAATTCCTTTTGGTGGTTTGAAGGTTTATCTTGATTACAGGTTCAATTCTCTCTTCTAAGCATGGGAGAAGAACAGATGGAGATTAAGAATATTTGCGACTCTCTTGATATCCGCTTGATTTCCTACAGTCCCTTAGGTCTCGGAATGCTTACCGGAAAATATACGCCTTATAGACTTCCACAAGGTCCAGGTAATAGAGATGATTCAGTTCATCACTTTCAGGGATATATGGTAAGGAGATTTGAAGGCTCCTCTTAGTGCATAGGTGAGTGTTTACTTAGTGATAACCTTTGTTATCTCTTCACAGGGGCCTTCTGTTTAAGCAAATTCTTCCAGGACTAGAGCCCTTGCTCGTTTCGTTACGAGAAATCGCACTAAAACGGGGCAAAACCATACCTCAGGTACTTCTAATGTCGACTTTGTTTCGAAACTATTGAAATGTAAGCCACTAGATGTATGGAATATATTGGTTTTTATCACATTGCCATTTGCAGGTAGCAATCAACTGGTGCATCTGTAAAGGTACGGTTCCGATACCCGGAGTTAAAACGGTGAAACAAGCTGAGGAAAATTTGGGTGCTCTCGGATGGCGCCTGAGTTCTAATGAGTTGCTTCAGTTAGATTATGCAGCTCAGGAATCGCCTCGGAGGATGATCCAAAACATTTTCCAGACGAAGTGAACGGTACAGAATCACAGCAAGTTTGGCCTGTATAACGGATGAAAATTTTGATTCAATGCCAAAGAGAATAGATACCGTGGGATCAAATTCGATCAACTAGAAGAGCAGAGGGTGCACAAAAACCCTGCAACTGCAAACATATAGAAAAGGGAGGAGGATTAAATTTTGGAGCAATATGTAGCCATCTGTGGCCATTGCTACTACTAAACCAACTAGCCTTGGAAGTTGATTAACCAACTCCTGGAAATGGTGATAGACAGCAACCTGCTCTGTTTGTTGGAAAGTAGGATTGCTGCAAAATAAAAAAAAATAACATTGACGGGAAAAATAATTTGAAAGGAATCAAAATTAAATTTAATTGTGTCGTGGCATAAACCAAAGTAAATTTGTCATGATTGGTGTAATCGTGAAATGGATGTTGATCCTAAGGTTAACACAGCTCATACACCTAAATATTTGAAGTGGAAACCAATGGATATTATTCTTCTCGAAAAGATTGATTAAGATCGAAAATATTTCCCGTCAGTTATAATCCGGCGATAGGAAAATAATCCTCCAAAATACAATAAAGAAACTTTGCGTAAGGGATAAAGAAAGATAGAGAGAAACTGCTCTGATAGTTATATTTCTTAGAAGGGAAAGTTAGCTTCTATATATATAGCCTCAAACTGAGGGCAAAAGAGTAAAAAAAAGTAGAAGTTACAAAAGTATTTAATTGTCATAAACATTATTTTAAATGGTCAAAAAACATTTTTAATATTTTATAACGGCTAGTAACATAAAATATAAACTCTAACACACACTCGAGCTGCTTCGGAACAGACGACTATATGTACTGTATGTTTGCTAGATGTAACAGCAGGCAGAATTTAAACATAAAATATAACTTGGAAGATGTGAAAACAAGCATCATAATATCAATGGGAGAAAAGGCATAAGCTTGCAAATCTGCAGGGCTATGAATTATGATATTCTCAAAGTTTAGGAAGTGGATAAAGTAACAGACATCTTAAACACTATGATTGAAAGTTATACACGAGGAGGAACTAACTCAAAGTCTTTATGGTCCTCCAAGTATTGCATTTTCGATATCCTCTCTACTCAATGCATAACTGAATCGCCTTTCGACATCTCTTTCAAGATTCCCAGGTCCATTCTTCAAGTACCTGCAGCATATGACACAATCTTCCTAGCTCAATAAAAGATAAAAATTCGGATAAATTTTAGAAGAATGATGTACAACACTTTGCACTTATTTTTATTCATTTCCTTCCAATTTTCCCCCACCAAGATCATCAAGCAATCAAATGCGATACGTTCGAATGAGTTTACAGGTCTTAATGAATTTCAGTAAATAGAAATGGTTCGTTATAACAGATTGTATCAGAAGAAGATATGGCTTGACCCAACCTGTGAGCCAAGGTCTGGAAAGAATTAAGCCTCCTCTAAAAGCTTCCTATAGTTAACATCCAAAATCTTTTGTTCACTCTTTATAACTAATAGCATCAATTTTCCAGCATCTCTTCTTTTTTCTTCGATTCCGGACTTCTATCCCGCTCTCCTAATTTATGCTAAAACGAAAAACTGTGCAAAAAAGATAAGTAAACAGGGCAGTAAACAATCACAGTTTTTCAGTTCATAAGTCTAAGATGGATTTGCAATCAAGAAGCATGACCAGCATCCTTGCACCAATGATTGTGATCACCAGTCCAGGTAACACTTGTAGAAGCCAGAAGGCGGAAATGACTAAACCTTCCCAACTTTGTCCCGATCCTTAATAACTATTTTTTTCGGCATTTGAATGCCATTCTGTCAAACTCAATGGAACTTGATCAAGTCAACTAAATTTTGTACTTATCAACCCCTATTGCTAGTAGTTCGCATTAATCACCACAATTATTTAAAGGAATCTTCTTAGTGTATACAGAGATGCAATACCTACGGTTTAGAAACCTATATGCTAGCTTATGTTAATCACCAGAAATGGTAGAATGTTCGATCCAGGTGCCTCAAGCAATTTAATTGAACCAATGAAATTTCTTCATTTTTTTATTATGTAATTTAGTAGAAGAAATACCAAGTTTACACCATCTAAAAAAAATCTCAAAACCCAATTAACAATCAATCTAAATAAAGATACCCATCAGGGATTTAAATGGCGGTTTACTGCCATTATATGGCCGTAAAGGTGTTGTCCGAATCCGTTATTGCATTATTGTGATACCATAACGAACGCAATAACACCAGCTATTACCACAATCACACAACTCAATCAGAAATATGACCGCAACCGCAATTTAAATTTCTGATACCAACCTCAAATCAAACGAAATAGAACACACCCAAAAGGAAATAGCTAAAAGGCCATTGGTCTACCTTATGTAAAGATCAGTGACATCAAGAGATAAATGAGCATGCCAATCGGGTTTTTCAATCAACCAAACAGCACGCTCCTCTCTGCTTTGATAAAACCCTAAACTCCTAAGCCATGCTTCAATGCAAGGCAAGCTGTGAGAGTAAAGGGGCTTGTTCTTATCCGGGAGCCTGCTGAGCCACTCATCTTCCGCCGTCGGCAACTCTCCTGCTTCCGAAGATTTTGAAGAAACAAAGGTTGCGATTTTCCTTTGAGATTGAGAAACAGAGTTGGGAAACGATAGGGATTTCTGGAAAAGTGAAAAACAGGGGAATTTCGGATGAGTTGCTGAGACATGCGTAGTGATGATTAACTTTGAGACATGAAAAGCAGACATTTTTCTTCTTCAGGTTTTAATCGTTATTTAATTATTTTTTTGGTTGATAATTTGATAAAAATGGAGTTTTTCTTGAAGATTATGGTTGTGAAGTTGGACTGGGAAAAATGATTTCCACTGTAAACTAAAACTCCATACCATTATCTTCTTCGTCTATGTACGGTTCGACGGCGGACATAATTGGAACTAAAGGGCCATGACCCTTCAAAACTTATAAATTTGTTATCAGGTCCTTGAATTTTTTAAAACAAAATTATTTAATCCTTTTAAAATATTATTGAGAAGGAATCATGTAAGTTACTGCATAACTGGCACTTTTTGGAGCATAGATTGTTATTTGATGTAGTCAATTTTATATAAACGGTTAAATTCAAATACTGCATAGGACCGATATGAATAAAAATTTGTTATATTTACAAACGTAATGACTCAAACCTATAACATTACTTAAGTGATCTAATATCTCATTCTATCAAACCTATAACATTACTTAAGTCATCTAATATCTCATTCTACTAAACCAATTGATTGTTGATAAATTTTAATATCCATATTAACTATCAAAAAGACTTAAATTATTATTCAATAATTTTTATCGATACAAAAATAGAATTTACAAATAATTAATAAAAAATACTAATATTCATCAGATATTATCTAAGTTTCATGCTAATAATTATCCTATAATATAATGTTAAAAAAGGAAAAAATATCATAATAATGTCATCCCAAAATATATTTTTTTGTGACGTCTTATATCACAGTCAAAAAACATAAAAGAGTATAAATATTTATTACGAAAATATAATTAATAAAAGAAATTTTGATCTAGAGTTTGTATAGTCTTAAAAGGATGAAAAACAAATGATAAATAGACTAGAAAATTCATTGTGATGTAGCAATATAATGAATAAACAATATTACTATTGGACATTGGACATGCAATAATAGAGTAAACATTAAAATCATATAATAAGAAAACGCAATAATTACAATAGCAGTGAGTATAAACAATATATTATATCAGATTTCAGAAATAGATTTTAGCACAACATTGAACAACCTTAACATAGTAACATAACATGCAGTCAACATCATCAGAGAATTAAAAAACAGAAATATAGTTATAGTTCAATTAAAATCAAAGGCAATATCATGAATAAAATTCATGGAACAAGAACTTGACTAGAAAAAAGGTACAAGGTATAGTAGTTTAAACCTTGAAGTCATATTTTCAAGCATATTGGCCTGCCTACTTCCTATCTCATATTTCGTACTCGGACAATATTCGCATACCAAGAAATCTTGAGCAATCTCGGCCAAACGGGCTCTCTCTTCGAAAGCCACTACACTTTGCGAACCTGGATATTGTGAGTGGACTGGAATCGCCAGATGGGTTGCCTGCCACTCTGAACAAGAGCCACCTCTTCTCCTTCCTTCACCATTCCTTGCTTCTGTACATCAACCATTGAGTTCATGAAACAAGCACACACTAGTTCTACCATGCCATATCAAAACTCAATCTTTTTGCAAGAAAACAGCATAATCAAATGAACGGAACTCCAAAGTATACTGAAGTTTAGGACACGTGATACTTTCGTTCACGAACAACTAAATCTATAGTTACTAGCCAGCCAGTTTAAGGGAACTTTCATGATGAATACTCCGGTAAAACCTTACCTGCAACAAAGCTAAAGCATTCTTAATCCTCAGCATCATTTGAGAACTCCATGTATATGGGACATAATCCTTGATATAAGGCTAATCTATGTTGTACCCTTTTCCTGGATGACCAATAACGTCATAGTCAAACTTTCAAGATTATAAAGCCCAGTAATGGTTGAATCCTCACATCGACATTACAATACTGGCGAAATGTTGCACTTCTGAATTCATAGACATTATAATCCCACATGGAATTAATATATTCATCAAGTCAGCCTCAAATAGGGTAGACCATTATTATGCCATAGCAGAAGAATGAGACAGACGGTGGAGAAGGAACTGAGATTCAGGAACTATACAGTAACCATTTTGAGATTCAGGAACAGGTCAAACTCGCTCATTTGTGAAGGCAAAGATAGTGCCAGAAGGACGATAATGGCCAAGTAATATGGCCATGAAACCAGTTCTAGTGAAGACAACAGTGGAGATTCCAAGAGTATTTGACATCATTGTTGCATGATATGCAAACATCTCACTCATATGGTTCTACATAGAAAAAGTAACTGCAGTCAGAATTGATAGTTAATAAAGAAAAATACAGCATAAGAAACAAAGGGGAAAAAAGGCATAAAGCATATGGAAACTGGAAAGTACATATAATATGCTAAATGACCCTGAAAGCTTGACCAAGATTAGGTGGCATTTCACCACCAGATATGGTTGCTTCAGTTCGTAGTGCAACTGTATGCATCACTTTAACAGCTTTCAACGGGAACCTGCAAGAAAGTGAAATCTGTTTACTAAAGTGCACTTAGGTAGAGTAATTTGCACACCGTTCATGCAATTACCCGCTAGAGAGAAAAGATAAAGCAAGGTAGCACATGACGTTCCAAATTACATCAAGTGGAGTTTCTATATAAACAATTACTCCAATATAGATCACTATTATTAGCATAAGACAAAATCAAATCCACTTTTACTATAAAAGTTAACAAGGGGTTGTTTGCCATTTATGGAAAAACGAAGGTATGAAGAGGAATATGTAAAATAAAAATTTCTAGAATCCCATGTAAAAACTTAAGTAACCTACTTTCCATGAGCTGTTTCTCCAGAAAGCATGACAGCATCAGCACCCTCACGAACAGCAATGGCAATGTCAGATACCTCTGCTCTGGTTGGTGTTGGATGAACAATCATACTTTCAAGCATATTGGTTGCCACAATAACAGTTTTCCCCATGCTTCGACATGTTCTAATTATCTCTTCCTACATTTTACACCAACTAGAATTCTGAGTGGCTAAACAAATAAATTTCATTTCTTTATACGTAAATAAAGTATGTTTGATGAATTATCTTTTAATGTTCAATCAAAAACTAAACCAACCTGCAATAGAGGAACCTCCTCGATAGGAAGCTCTGCACCAAGATCTCCTCTAGCAACCATTGCCTAAAATAAGAGAACAAGAATTATTTTCTAACATCACAGATGGTACTTAATATTTGAAAAAAGCATCGTTACACTTTAGCACCAATTTTCCTAAAAATTTGAAAATACTTCTCCTCAACAAAGACACGGCTGAAGGTAAGATATAGCCAGAAAACTATCCACACCTTCATATGCATAAAATATAAACCTCAAAATAACTGCATTAAGGATTCAATAAAAAAAATTAAGTGATCACCCCATCAGATGCTGTTATAATTGAATGCAAATTTGGAATAGAATCTGCACTTTCAATTTTAACAATAACATGAATATCTGCATCACAAACTGCCAAAAGCAAAGGAAAAAAGACATTAGTAGAAGAGAATTTAAAGCATATACCAAAGACAGTTATTATTTCATTAAAAAAATACAAGATAAATTTACTCTGCAAATAATTCTTCAACTCATGAACCACTTCAGCATCTTTAACAAAGGAAACAGCATAAAAGTCAACTTTATTGTCTACTCCAAATTTTATGTCATCCCAGTCCTTTTCTGCAGTAAACCAACTGAAACGAATAACCCATCGCTCATTCTCAACCCTATATAGAAAGAGTAGGAGAAAAAGGGAAAAGAAGAAGAGGAAAGTGGAAAATCTACAAAGTAATAGAAATTACAACAATTAAAATTTCAAGAACTAACCTGTAATAGAAGGCAGTGTAGCACTTTTTCCTGACATTTACATGCCGCCGAGACTTAAGCTCACCACCATCAACTACTTTACACTTCACTGAATCTTGTCTTAGACTTCACTACCAATGACATCATACCACCTAAATCATGAATCAGTAGTCAGAGGAACATGTAATCAACAAAATGACAAATCGTCAGGCTGAGAATTTTCTAGTGTTTTCTGTTCAAAATCTAGTTCAGACTATTTAGCACACTAAGCTCTTGTTTGATAATGAGAGGATGCACATTAGCCTTGAAATGTAAGATGATTTTATATTATAAGGTACTTTTGCTCTGAACCAGCTTAAGTCAATAGGTCAACATAATTTCTCTATAATGCTATAGGTTTCATTTTTCATTTAGAGAAAGATCCGAAAAAGCTAAAAGTGCATTCGCATAGGCTTTTGCATTATAATCAAACAATCTTGTTCACTTCTGATGTATATGTTTAGGCAGAACCGCAGAATACAATCCTGGAAACAACATCAGCAAATCCATAGCTAAATAATCAAGAGCATGGTAGACAAGGTAAAATCCTTTTAGTTAATTTCTAGATCATTAAATTCTTCTATCAGAAAATGCTTTCCTATATCAGATTATATATTTGCAGTCTTAGACTCTTGATAATTGAATCACAACAGTAAAAGCATATCAAATTTGGTATGAAAACATGCATGCTGGCTGCTGGTGTTGCGATCGAGTACCGTGATTAACAAACATATAAAACTTTAAAAATTAACCAACATGCATACTTTTGCAGTCTGTTGAAGTTCAAGGAAGCATACCATCAACAAGAAGCATGTCGCCAACTTCTACATCATTAACAAAATCATCATAGTTGACACTGACACAATCAGTTGTCCCATACACAATCAGTTGTCCCAACTCCTCTCCTAATTGTAAAAGTAAATTCCTGCCCAGTTGTTAACGTAATTGGTTGGGGCAAGTCGCCACTCCTAACCTCAGGGCCCTAATAAACAAAACCAAGTACTCATAAGAAAACAATAAATGAAATGATAGAATCATCTGAAGAAAATTAAGCACTATCGGTTATATTATTGTTGCCCACAACACCATGTCCAATATTTTAAGGGCTCATAACCTCAAAAGTTAATTGGATGAATGAAGACAAAAACTATATGCATACACATCTACATATATATGTATATTACAATTTACAGCCTCTCTCATTAAGTCTCCAAACCAGATACTGACTAACATATTGTCACTTGTACATACTTGCTGGTCTTACTCCAAGATAGAGTGCTAGCATTACCATAACTGAACCTGTATACAAAATCCAAGAAAATTTTGGCACAATCATATAGGTTTATGATAAAGGCATTGTCTAAGATGACAATCCTGACAATAATCTTGCAAAAGAAAGGTCCCCCTGATGTCTAACTCCAACAACACCAAACTCATTGACTCAAGCAACCTGGCATACCAGCTTTTACACAGTAAAAAGAAAATGAAATTAAGGGTACTTGCCTTGGTGTAAAGCATGATTGCAATTGTGTTGTCTTTGGATTGGGCATTATATTCCTTGACTAAATCAATAACTTTCTGATGTGATGCATGGTCTCCATGAGACATATTCAAACGTGCAACATTCATTCCAGCCTCAGCCAATTTCCATATCATTTCCCGTGTGTTTGTTGAAGGACCAATTGTGCAAACAATCTTTGTTTTAAGTCTAACAATAGGATTGGACCACATACCCACTGATGCATCGCCTACATGCTGAATCCCCCTTAACTGCTCATATTGCTCCTCCCTCTAAAGAAAAAAAAAATATGCAAGAAAAGTTACAAGCAATGATTTTTGGCTAATTTCTATATGCAACTGTCCATGATTTGTTATAGCAATCAAAATCATAGAGACTACGTCATCCAACAAGCAATTTACTCATCCTATACCAGTGTTAATAAGCAGAAAAAACTTACTTAAAGTGAAATACGAGTAATACTTGGTAGTTTTAACTGAAAATTTAAATTATACAATTTAAGGTTCCTTTTCATTAACTGGAAAGGGAAAACGGGTGAATGTAATGCCCCTGCCCCCTATAATTCCTCTTTTATGTTACATTCTTTGGATAATTTCCTTACCACAAAAACGACCGACGCTGCATCAAACACTGGCTTGTAATCTCACTGGAAATTTTGACTAAGTCCTAAATACTTTTTCTTCTTAATAGTAGACGGTGGTAAAAAAAAATCCCATTTTTAAAAGGAAATAAAAACATTCGGTTATGCAAATTTCACTAATATGATACTGCATTTTCAACAAACCAAACAAAACCCTATTCAACTGGACCAGCTACATGATAATACTATCACTTCACTTATAATTGCACTCCTTATGCTCGCTCAACTTCTAAATAAATAAAAAACAGTAACTAAGATCTAGAAAAGTCGATTCGATTAATTTATCTTTTTTTAAAAAAAAACAATCTTTTAGCATGCGTTGCCGGCAGCCAAACACAAATGAAAGCGACGATCAAAAGGTTGAAAGCGGCACAAACCTTGGGTACATCCTCAGGTGAAACGGGAATAACTTCAGGCTCGGCACGTGCGGCTCTCTTCGCAGTAATCCTAGATTTCGTCCTAAGGACGACTCCCTTGCTCTTATTCGCGTCACTTACCAACACTTTCGAAGCGAAGCTCGCAGGCTTAAGCTTCTCTGCTCGCTCTTGAATGGTTCCAGATCCCTTGCTCAAGAAATTAGCGTGGATGGATCTAGTGTCCACCACTTGAGCCATTGCAAAAATGTGCGACAAAAAGAGAGGAAATGAAAGCGTGTGACGGGAAGAGGCCGCTGATACTTTTAAGGAAGAAAGCGAGGGTTTGAGATATCGCCGCTAAATTTGGCGGCAGCTTAGTATATATCGACAATTACTATGGACTGTGGAGCTATTCTCTTATTATTCTTCTCCATTTTGCACTATACACGACTTTCAAAACAGTTGAGATTTTTAGAATACGACGTCGTGCCAATCTTTGATTTAAAACATTTTTTATTATTAATCTTTATAATATAATATATGCTCTAAAAATCTTCAACTATTTAATAATAAAAACTCAATCACCTTTGTATCTCAAATCTAAGACTTTTAAAAATAATAATTTTTTTAACCACTTAAACATATTAATTCTTGTGATAAGACTCTTTACTTATCATTTTATTTTTTTGGTAAATTATATAAACACAATGATGTTTTAGAAAATATTGATATTTCAAAAATAACGAAAATAACAATTTATCAAAAATATATTATTTTACTATTAACAGTCGTATCTTAATAATAATAAAATAATATGATACATTAAACTGGTTTATTTATCATTTTATCACGTAAGAATACTTGATTTAATTTTATTTCTTCTACAAGTGTATTTTCTATATTTCTTTTTCTTTCCTTTCTTCTACGAAGTTGTAATATTACCTCAACTTTTAGTGATGCATATCAATATTAAACTTATTCCATGCCACGAATTGTGATACAACCAAGCACTTATCCAAATGTCTATGAACTATGGGCTTCACGTTAATCATAATGTAAAAATATGAAGATAGTTCTTAGCTTGGTAACTTAGAGCACTTGATAGGTTCAAAACTTAGAGATAATTGAACACTCACTTGGTAACTTGTTGTAATATGTGTGCCCTTCTATGGTACTTGGATAGTCTAAGTGTCTTCATATTGCCGAGTGACATGTCTTGCCGCAATTGCTCTAGACTTGCTACTACTCCATCCATTGTGGGTCGATCCTTAGGGTCAGAGCTAAGGGCAGTGGCAGATGATTGAAGCAAACTTGTATGCTTCTTCCATATCGATGTTCCTTGTTTTCTGTTCGATGATGTTATGCAGCCCCATGTGATTGCTTAGTTATGGTTTAGCCAGAGAATATTTCTAGGAGTACTACTCCGAAATTGTATACATCGGCTTTTAGAATCAAATGCCCTGTGAAATTGTTCATAAAATTTTGTACGGGTGCCAAACCTATATACCAAAGTTTCTCTATCTTAGAAAGATAAGTTGAAGCATATATATATATATATATATATATATATATATATATATATATATATATATATATCTGATATGACTATAAGATATTATTTATTTATAATTTTTCTTAATAATTGACAATGCCCCCTAAATACCTTATAAACGTAACTGCTTGAACTCAGAAAGCATATACCTATTTTAAAGTATTCTGGTGCAAAGTATCCCTTCGTTCCGAGGACCCTTAAGGCTTGAACTAACATGTGATTGGTCTTCTAAGGGTCCATACCTAGTCATTTTGTATGTTGTATTGATACAGATACAAAGATCTGAAACGATAATTTTCAAATTACATAGTATGGATACGGTAAATATAAATAAATTTTTAATTTTGAAATTACTACGAACTTACATATTAGATTCATATCCAGTTTTTTGTTTACACTATCTTCCTTAAAACAAACATATCTTAAGTTCTCAAAGTTCGATTGAGCCATTTCAAGATGTGTTACAAAGATAATTGAAAAACAGTTCATATATAAGACGACACCTTAATTCATAAATACTAGGATCTCATCCAAAAATTACAACTAATTTGGAATAGACCGAGAGAGGAGCAGGTGAAGATAGTCGTCGTCCTTTTAAAAAATTCAAATTCTGATATATTTTTGATATTTTCTTTATATTTTTTATTCTAAATCTATTTTAGTCTCCCTAAAACATGGTTTATTCTTCCCCTAAACCATTGATATTTCCTATAACCTACTAACAGTAACTTGTTTCCAAGATTTTCCCTATTTTTAAAGGATAACATATAAATCCCCCAGTTTCTTTCCAGTTTCTTTCCAGTTTCTTTCCAGTTTCCTTTGAACGTCGGACGATTGGTTAAGCAAATTAAACTCAAAATCCATCAAAGCTCAACTAGTAAATATTGGAATTTTTTTCAAAAAAGGAACAAAAATAACACAAATAACTTATTTATTATATATCAGTCTCATACACACTGCTATCTACAACTGATGAATATTCAATGCTTTCATGAACTTCCAGAAACTATCATTTCTCTCTGCAAACATGGTCACCGGAACCCTTCAAAACTCCAAATTTGGACATTCCTCACATGTCTGAGTGCTCAAGATTCCAGAAAAAAACCGGATAATGGTCGAAAACTAAGGCAGATGCATGAAGTTTCTACACTCTAGTAGCTTCTGCAGTGGGAATTTTTAGTGCAACCTCTATGTCCTTGCTTTCAGAATTTGTAAATTTCAAGAAAGTTTCAATGTCATGATCTGAGCTGCCATGTCTTAAAAGATTGAACCACTTGTTTTGAGGTTTCGGCTTCCTGTCGCTAATGGCGATGGCGATGTCGTTGGGGAAGAGGTCTCGTAGGACAAAGGCGTGCACTATAGTCGTTACAAGCAGAGCTGTTACAGTCAATGTAGCAACAACAGACAGAATGACAGAAAGAGTCTGAGTTAATACATTTGTGACTGCACTTGAATATCTCATCGTTGCAATCGCGGCACCGGTCATCGGGAACGTATACGCCCACCAAGCCAATGAGAACCTGTAAATAGAAGAGAAATCAGAATCGAACTAACTAAAGAACTGAACTATACAAGTCAAGGAATGTACTGCACTTACTTGAATCCTCTAAAAAAGTTAACCCGAACTGCCTGCAAAACATCATATAGTTTAGCTTTTACTAAGAATGCAGCCTATAAGTGAAGTTAAAGCAACATAGTGGCCAACTTACCAATGAGAAATAGAGGAACAGGGCGATGAAGTAAGCGATCCGTGATCCGTAATCGAACGATCCTTGGATATTGGCCCATGCCATCGAAGCAACACTCGGTGCTGCAACGAACAGGAAGAATACAGGATGGAGATCTTTGGGGAGTGTTTCATTCGTTGGAAGTCTCTGGTAAAGGGTTACAAAAAGGACTGTGTAATGAGCCAATCCAACAGCAAAGAAGAATATAGGCCCTTCTTTAAGCCCCATTGATGCACCCAATAGTGCCCCAACAAAGTTCCCGACAACCGAGAGATGGTTCGTAGGATTAGCCACCTTGGAAAGCCTCCGTTGACCGCCCGACATCCACTGTCCATAGATTTTAAGCTCCAAAAAGAGGAATGGGGTCATAAGAACATACCATAAAGCTACTGGCAGGGTTGTGGCAACTGAAGGTGGCACTCCAAGTGCTAAGAACAGAAGAGCTATCCAAGGAGCAAAGAAGAAGTTGATCCGTATCGGATGGTAATACTCACTACGAACAGCTTCGAAGTAGAGAACAACTTTCGTAAGGTAGATGGAAGACACGACGGCTACGAGAGTGATCGATATCCACCATAGGATGAGATTTACAGTCAGGCTTATGTGAAGAAATTTTGTAGAGGTAGCAGTGGCCAAGGTTTTCCACATAACAGCTTGGCTGCTAACTCCCAGACATATACCAAATGAAGAGATTGGATACCTAAGAAGGAAAGGCCAAGTCTTGTCATCTGGAAGCACAATTTCCTCAGAAGCCTGTCAAATTAAATGGTCTCAGATTCTTCAAGCAACACAAGTATTTCAACACAGGATGATAAAAATAAGAACATACTCTTAAGGTCTCCAACTCCGGTCCTTCGAGTGCATCGAAGTATCTGTCCACAGGTAATACTTCACGCCCTGAATTTTGCGTGGACTCTTCTTCCGATTCGCTTTCCGACTGCTGCCTTCCACGTAAATTCGTTAGCTGTCTTTCGAGCTTACCGGACCATGTTTTGAAAGAATTGAACCTCTTGTCCTTGAGCTTTTTAATGTTAGGAGCTGCCTCCCCAAAGACTGATCCTTTGGGCATTGGCTGAGACAGAAACTGGACTCCTTTCGGCTTCGGTTTACTAGCCTTGACCGAAGATGAATCATTGAAACCTTTTCCATTGTATTCAACATCTAAAACATTCTTGGTGCCTGCAGAGGTAGCTCCTGTAGGAGAAGATGGCATGCTGATTGAAATAGAAAACTTCCTCTGATGACCATTAGAGGAAACAGATGTTTCACTTTCCGGCTGACCAAACAAAGATTACATATGCAAACATTTAGGACACATGAAATATAGATCATCCACTAGAAGGTGCAAGTGTGACTCACCATGATGCTATCGAAATCGACCACTTCGCTGGACGTTATAAGCTTGAGGAGCTCAGGAACCGGCTCGGCCGAGGCTGATTCCTGCAACTCTATGGAAACATGGTTCTCTCTTTTATCCATCTCCGAATGCCTGGACCTGATGGTTTCAAAAAGGGTCGGACATATAATGCATTTACAACTGTTACGGATACATTATATAAGCTTAATAGCAAGTTATATGAAGAAAGAGTTCCATGAAATAAGGCTGAAACGGAATATAGATAAACAGACAGATTCTAACCTCAAATTTTCTGGGAAAATATCAGAAACGCCTGCAGCAATCTTATGACGCCTGGAGAGATCTAGACAAATTGTGAACAACAGTAGAAGATAAATAAATGGTTTAAATAAGAAGCTCCAAACACATTTTAATAAAATATTTGTTTAGAAATTTTCATAATTTATTGACTAAGCCGTACATATTTTTGCAAACGCAACCGTTCGAATTCGGGTCGATTTGGGGAAAGGAAAGTGGTCCGAGCAAATAAATAAAGAAAGCACAACCAACACACGTTTTCCAAATATTTTGTCATTAATGCTTTTTTTTCTCTTTGATAATATTTTGATAGAAAAAGACAAAGCAGAAGAGATTTTAAAGTATATTCCAGCTGGTATTTAGAATATGTTAAATTGATAGTTGATATGCTCGCAGTTGATTGCTTCTTGTCATCTTCGTCAATTACCTGTATTTCCGAGTTTTCTCAATAATATAAAATTAGGTTTGACTAAATTAATTATTTTTTTCAAACACACAATAAAACAGTACATGATTGGGAATAACATGTACAACCAAAAAACACATAAGCTGCCATTAAAGGAACCCAAGAGGCCAGTAGACATAAGAGATGGAGAACGAATTCGATGGGTTTTGACCTAAACTCAATTATCTTAAGTATTGAGTCGATTTTTTTATAAAAAAAATGTCAAGTTCGGGTTGAGTCGAGTTTATGGTAAAAAATATCAGATCCGACCTAATCCTTAAAACAATATAATTGTTTATAATATGTTCTCATACATTAATTTATCAAGTAAGTCCTTGAATTTGTATTTTTTTTATATTGTTATCTGAAAATTTTTCCCTCAACATCTTTTAGTACTATTTTTTTTCCACACTGACATATGAACTTCTCTACTTTTCCTACAATGATATATTCTTACACCCATGTTAAAAGGAGTTAATAATTAATATGGTACTTTGAGATTGCGCACGTCTTCATCAAAAAAATGGTAAACTGCATATTTAGTCATCTATTTTTGTGATTTTATTTTGGTCACTCAACTGTTATATTTTTTAAAATCATACTATAAGTTATATTTTTAATTTCATTTTGATCATTCACCGTTAAAAAACCAATATAACTTTTAAGGTGTCAATTTCTTATTTTTTTCCTCAATAATTGCATATGATTTCGCCATTTTATATAACATCGGAGACATGTGATGTCAAAATTGTATAGTGTTACATGCATATAATTCGAAGGTATATGACTTAAAGTTGGGGTAATATAATGCTAGAACAATACTTTTAGAGACATATGTGACAATATAACCATTATATTTTTTATTAGTCTAAGGATGATTATAAAGTAGTATTTGTTTGAAAGACTCATAATCCATTTAATAATGAACATTCAAACACTTCTGACGTACGACCTGCTCGAATGTGGAACCTCTAGAAATAACAATCATCTCTTTAACCATTATATTATATATCATGAGATTAGACGAGGTTTATATGTTACTTAAAAAATAGATATTTAAAGTTTTGATTACGGTAGACGTATAATTTATTGTTAATGCAATTTCCTCAGTGAGTTTTGGACAGCATGGAATATGTAGATGAAAGAAAATGACAATCATGAAAACAAGTCAAATAGATCGGTGGTATCAAATTTCGGAACAATTACTAGTCCCCACGTACAGCTATTTCATTTTGGGGAAAAAAACATTAAATTTGACAACATAAATTAGTCAGAAATAATAAAATAAATAACAATAACTTATGTTAAAAGTTGTTGTACTTCTTGACAGATCAATGGTCTACCCCACCACAGCTGCATTTCGTGACCGATAATCATCTCCAGTTATCATAAATTAATGTAAAATCAAATCATTGAAATGATTTGGTACACCAACAATTGATTTAGTCAGATAAAATATTATATCTTTTAAATTAGATTAGAAGTTTGAATTTTAATATTTTTAATAAAATAAATTGGATTAAAATATCACTCTCGTTATTATAATATCTGATTCATATTAATTAATCAATAAATTAAATATCGGTAATTTAAAAAATAATTTGGTACGATTTTGATTTTATTTGATGTCATTCTTTGTACCTTTCCCTATTTAATGTTATTAAGTAGATCATGACATATGAGAGTTTAATTGTTTTTTCTATCCTAATATTTTCTCTTTAGCTGAATGCTACGTGTTACTTTCTCTTTTATTTGAGATATGACGACATCAATTGTTTGTATTTATTCTTTTTATTTCTTCTTTTATATCACATCTTATTTTATTATTTTATTTTTTTAATTTTCAATAATTATATTTTTTATGTCACTCTTATGACAGGTTTCTCTGTTTGGCAATTTTTTATGGCTTGATCATTTTTTTTATTTAATTTTTTTAAAGTTGGATTTGACAACGTCTCGATTGATAAAATGCGCTTATTTATTATCCTATTGATCTTTCCTACTTTGGACACTTGGATTGGATCTAGATACACAGTTTGTGTTCGGAGATAGTTTCTCACGATACTCAATTCTAGTTTATGATTTTCGGTGATCTTTCAATAGTTTGATCTTATGATGTAGTTCGTTTGTCAATGCAATTATATTTGTTTGTATCTATCTATTGTTCGAATTTTTTATATGTTTCTTAATCTTTAATTATATGATTCTTATATGATTTCAAATGACTAGTTTATTGTGTTAATGATTATATAGATATACCTTAATTATATGTTTATTAATATTAAATATTTTTTTAATCAAACTAGTCACTTCAATTTGTATAAAAATATAAATCATGACATATAAACCTAATATAAAAACAAATAGGATGTGATTTATTCTAAACATAATATAAAATGAAATAGTATACTATAAAAACAAGGATTTAAAAAAATTAAAATAATTAATAATTGAGCCTAATAATTCTATATTTTTAATTAGGTCATTAATTAGTTTAATTAATTATTAATTAAATTTAATAAGTTTAATTACTTGTAATTAGGGTCTTAATTAATTAATAATTAAGCTTAATAAATCTAATTTATTTCAATTTGGTCCTTTATTGGTTAAATTAATTAATAATTGATCCTAATAACGCATTTGTTCATCGTTGCTTTACTAACCTCATCCGTATCTTCAATTTCTTTTGAGACAACATAGCTAGTTAAAGGTACCAAACTTTTAACATAGTGAGGATGCTCAAACCTTCCTGCATGTAATTAATTCTGGAACCTGATTATGATTTTAATGTGAGATGCAAATCATAAAGGTATTCAATCATATATATATAGCCTAAAATAGTCGTTGATGACTCCGTCCATTTGATAAACTTTTCAAGTTCCAACAATTTTGTACCACCACCAAAGAGTTTCAATATATACCGTTAGTAATTTAAAAGCGGAAAAATAGCTAAAACGATATCAACATAAAATAAGACATGTACAAGAGATGAGATTTAATGTGGTTCGACCTGACTTACCTTCACAGACGAGATGAACAATAATTCATTATAAACGTAGAGAACACAAATAGTACTAGTATATGATATCACATGTATCCCAAAATATGGTATAAATAATAAAACCCAATGTAGACATCAATTTTTTTTTATTTTATTTTAAAATTTATTATTATTATTATTATTATTATTATTTATTAATATTACAAAACCCAAATTGAGGCCCAATTACAAACTTGGTGGCCCATATCCAGAAGCCCAATGGAAACCCTAAACTAGATTAGGGTTTCCCTCTTCTCCCAGCCGCCTCAGCTTGCCACCGTTGGATCTGGCCAGATCCAACGGTCCAGAAATACCCAACAAAGAAACCCTAGGGTATCATAACCCTAGGGACACGTCCCAACTGCCAGTGCCACGCCACGGCGCCGCCGCCTCATTGAAGAATCCAGAAGCTTTGATGCTTCAACACCCGCCGCCCACGTCGCAAGCTCTAGAGGTGAGTCACCACATAGCTCGGTGACTCACCGAACTCCACCTTTCGGACCGGTCCGAGACAAACGCCGGTGATGGCTATAAAGCCATCACCCAACCTGCAAAGAAAAGGACACCCCCAGCAAAAAACAGAGAACAAAAAAAAAAAGGGAAAGAAGAGAAGCTTACCGAGGAAGCCACGACCGCCAGACCTCACCAAAACCTTCGAAAACCGAAGGTATATTTCTTAGATTTGCTCCGATCGGGAGCCGTTTAAAAGAAAAGACCATCGGAACCGTCATTAGGACGGTCCGATCTATGTTTTAGTATAAAAAAAAATTTATTCCGGCCACCGAAGGCGGTGGCCGGCGGCTGCAGGCCGGATAGCTTCTCTCTGTTTTAGAGAGAAGCGAGAGATTCTCTCTCAGAGAAGAGAGAGAGAGGGAAGAAATGAGAAATGAAGCTGGCCCTTCGGGCCAGCTGATTTTGGCTTTAAATAGCCCTTCCCGAACGACGTCGTTTCGGGGAGGGCTATTTGTGGAATTATGAAATAGTTAAATCCTTTCCGCAGTCAGCCTAATTTGTAAACTTTACATTTTAGTCACTAAATCAATTTATAATCCTTTTAATTCGGTTCTTTAATGTTAATTTTATTTATTTTAGTCCTTTATATTAAAATAATATATTTAGGGTAAATAACAGATTTAGTCCTATAACTTTAATAATTAATATTTTAATATGAATAGTATGTTTTAATTTATTTTATTCTAATATCCGAATTTTATATAATTTTATTTTAGTCACTAAATTAATAAATAAGAAAATAGCATGTTTAATCCCTATAATTTTGATTAATTATGAATTAGGTATTTAATTTTAATTTTACTATAATTTAGTCACTAATTTTATATCTTTTCATTTATTTT